CATGCCTACGATTGTAGATTAGATTTTTTCTCCCTTTGTTTCCATCATTTACTCCTTTCAACTGTAGGTCAAAAGGTCATTTGCTCCTTGACCAACAAAAATTCTACAAATTGCATTAATTATAGCTTTGCCATTCAGTTTTATCTCTAAGAAAAATTAACGCAGAAGTGCTCAATCTCTCCCTTCATGCACCTTAGCACCTTTTACCAAGCATACTGACCAGGCCCAGCCAAAAAAAAAAGATATATTAGATCTCCAGACAAGTGACACCCTTCACTTTTAAGAATAAATTGAGACAGCAACATCTTGACTAACAAACTGAAATATCTCTGGCCCGCAATGGCAAAATTCAAGAGATACACTAGTTGCATAATTTGTACTTTCACTCATATTTAGTTTGAAAAACACAAACTACCTTAATGAAGGCGCAACAAAAGAAGATGCAGCACTTTGAAGGATGCTAGCACCAATTAAACGAATAAAGGCTGGCTTGTTCTGTTCCAGGACATACTTCACAGTAGTTCCTGCGAAAATTGATGCATTACACCAAGACTAAAATCACACCCAGATTATAAAATTCACTTAGCTTAAAGGAAAGATCATAATACCATTCAGTGAGGCAATCCGATCTGAGATCCATGTTCTCGAGACAACAAGAATAGCAACTGCAAGCAGTTGTGCCCCTTGTTTGTCAAATACTGTAGGCACCTGAAAAGCAAGTATCTGGAAAGTCAATAAAGAACTAAGACACAAGTAATGAGATGGATCTGCATTGAACACTTAATTGCTGCTATGTAGATAATTAGAAAATCAGGAGGAGGTCTATATAGATATTGCAGTTAGAAGCTCCAACTTATCGACCAAACATTTAGGGCCCGTTTAGTTCTAGAGAACTATCTTGAGTTTTCTTTCAAAATTCATATGTATTTATATATAAGAACATGTATAGTTGTTGAAAGTAAAAAAAGTTTTGAAAAATGGCACCAAAAATATGACAAGAAGTCGGCATGGAGATCCCACCAGGATTTGACTGAGAGACAGGATCATATAAAGTTTATAAATTGAAGAAGGCACTCTATGAACTCAAGCAATCACCTAAAGTATGTTTTGGTAGATTTGCAAGGATAATGACAGGCTTGGGATACAAGCAAGCTCAAGAAGACCTATCAAGCACTCTAAGACAACGGAAGTTATAGCTCTACTATTGTATATTAATGATAACATTGTAATAAAGGATGATGAAAAAAAATATCATGCTCAAGCAATCCCTAACCAGAGAATTCAAAATCAATAAGCTAATAAATTGAAGTAATTTCTTAGAATTGAAATCGCCTGCTTAAAATATAGGATCTTCATCTTTCAATAGAAAGAGATTCATGACCTATTAATAGATATGGACAAGCTACCATGTAAGTCAGCTAGTACTCCCATTGGTTGCAAACATAAACTAAGATTAGTAGAAAACAGTACACCAATAAATAAGCAGGTGTACTAGAGACTGGTTGGAAGAGAAATATACCTATCACATACAAGACCAGACATCAGTTGTGCAGTGAGTGTTATAACTCAGTTCATTTACAATTCTAAACAAGTACATTTACAAGTAACCTACAAGGTGTTGCATTATTTAAAAGGGTCACTTGATAAATGAATCATGTTTAGGAAAAATAATAGGTTACTCCTAGAAGCCTATGCGGATGCAAATTATGTAGGGTCAGTGGTTACTCTTAGATCTACCATGAATTACTGTAACTTTATTGTGGGTAACTGGGTTACTTAGAGGAGTAAAAAGCAAAAAGGAGTTGCGAGGTCAAGTACAAAGTCAGAACTTCGAGCAATGGTTCAAGGGATATGTGCATTATTATTAGTAAAGAGAATTTTAGAAAATTTAAAAATCGAATGGCACATCCTCATCCGTATATATTGTAACAATAAATCGGTTATAATCATTTTTCATAACCTGGTACAACATGACAAAACCAAACATATTGAGATTGATAAGCACTTCACCAAAGAAAAACTAGATGATGGTTTGATATATACCTCATAACTTATAATGTATTGACTAAAAGTCTAAGTAATCCAACATTCCAAATTATCATTGGCAAGCTGCGAATGAACAATATCTATCCCCCAACTTGAGCGGAATATATACCTCATAACTTATAATGTATTGACTAAAAGTCTAAGTAATCCAACATTCCAAATTATCATTGGCAAGCTGCGAATGAACAATATCTATCCCCCAACTTGAGCGGAAGTGTTAAAAGAGTGTTAAGGAGTGTATATTATATGTAAATAAGTTAAATGGCATTAAAGTAAAATATACCCTATATAATTAATAATGGTTTATTTCTTTTACATTCTATAAAACCTATATATATAGGGATGTGATATTTAATAAAATACACATTCAATCATTCTTAACATCTACAATTAAACAAGGACAAGTATTAAAATTTAGCAACTCATGTACATAAATGCCAAAACTTCATATGAAACATTTACTCAAAATGGATTTGGACATTCCGTATCTGCATTTTAACTTTGTTTCTTTGGCAAGAAATATCTCTACCATATACTTCCAATAGCTAAAGCATGAAAGACATAAGTTGGTGTATCTAGTTACTGAAAGGGACAGCACCTTTAGGATGTAGCTCTGTTTTCATTAAGGTGAGATTAACCACATGACTTCAACCTCAAACCAACAGATTCGTCAGTTGTTATTTTACAATAGAAAAAAAAAAGTAAATAACATGTGGAAGTGACATATTCAGATCAGCTTAATACAACTCAGAATAAAACATATCATCCCATAGATATTTAAGAAAATTTCTAATAGCCGATTATTTTATTTGTTTGATATAATGTTGCATGACAACTTAATCCTATTGTTTTTTTGCAATCAAAATAATTTCTAGAGGTACAAAACACCATGAGATTCAGTATGGCAACACTTAGAAGTAAACACCATATTGACATTAAGGAGCAAAGCCAAACGTCAACGATTACAAGAGCTACCACAGTATAGTAAACACCTATCTAAAACCAACTATTATGCAAAGGCCTTGATTTGAGAATTACCAGCTGACAAATAATGATAATCATGATAAATAAACAGTAGACTTACGGAGACCTCCGAATTTCACAAATTATGCAACTAAGCAAGAAGGTGACAGAAAGTAGATGGCCACCAATACAGCAAATTGGCTTTCAACTTCAGAAGACCAAAATATTCATCACTTAGTTACCCATTAGCCCACCATAACTACAATCTCCCCCAAAAAGCAAATTAATTCAAGTCTTAGACTCACCAATACTTTAAACATGGCAGCTACTCTCAATGGCAATATCCTTGAGACATTTGCAGTTGGGGAACAATAGCAATGAGCCTGATATTTGCACAGTGCTGCACTATCACTCAGATATGTATGTTTGTTCCTTTGAATCCGAAAATGCAATGTCATAGATAATAATAACCAAGAACTCTTATACAATGACAAAGTGGGTCCTCTAAAAACAAAGTGTTAGTAAATTCAAATTTTCTAGACCTTTTCTGCAGCAGCAAATGCTTGTTGAACTGCCATTGCATCATTTTGGCGGTCTGTATCAGAAGTCTTCAACATCTTGGCACCAGGTTTAGTTACAACTGGAGAATCTTCCCTGAAATTTTGCTGAAGTTAATAAACAACTAATCATAATCCATATAATAACAGATATTATCCTGATTTGTCAACTACATGATACCACCTTTTGTAGTGCACGTGCCATCCTCCTTCGCCATTCAAGGACAATACCACATCATGAAATGCAACAAGAGCAGGACGATGCGAGATTGTTATACATGATGTTCCCATAGCTCGAACTTTAGCACAAAAACGTTCTTCCATATCAGTTGTCACAGCACTAGTGCACTCATCAAGAATTGCAAATTTAGGCTTATGGTAGAAGAGTCTGGCCATCCCCAATCTTTGCTGCTCCCCCAGAGATAATTCATCACCCCAGTTAATCTCCTTCTCAGGTGGGTAACGCTCTAACAAATACTCCAAGTCAACCTAGAACATGATGCAAAGAAGTTCTATAAGGAACACATTAATGCTAATACTTCTATTTTTTTTAATGGAAATGCTAAATACTTTCTTAAGAAAGAGAGAATGCACCAAAGAGCACCAAGGGGGGATTCCATCTACAAAAGACAGAATATACAAACTAATTGAAATCTTCCATTGAATTAAGAGAATGACACTTGAATAAAAAAAATAAAAGATTTGAAAGCATAGATCTCTAAGTCGCTAAAAAAAATCCTCAAAATCTCTTCTGTTTCTCTCCTTCCAAATAACCAACAAAGAAGGCATGAGAGAGAGAGAGAGAGATTTTTATTCTCACGATCTTATCAAGCTGCATAAATTTGCGAGTATTTTTTTAACGAAACCAGAGCAATACATGACAAGTAATGAGGGACACCACAGCAAAAGAAGCTGGGGGGGGGGGGGGAGCGGGGCTTGGAAGCTCTTCTAAATGATAGCAGCTTATCACAAAAAATAAATTATACAGGATTCATTCTTCTTCCAAATTTATTTCCAAAGAGTATAAATGAAGTGGGAGAAGGACGAGGCATCTATATTAATGCTGAGAGAGACTGAAAAGAAGGGCAGAAGATGAGACCTACATTTTTCAACAACTCCAACATTCCACTTTGTGCGAGTGGCTCAACCTCTTGATCTGCTGTAAGAGGATAAATTAACTGGTCACGAAGTGTTCCCACAGCTGTATACGGTCTTTGAGGCACATAGAAAATCTCCTTGTTAAGATCAGAACCCACCCCAGGTTTAACAATATGGCCAGAGACCAAGGGCCAAAGGCCTCCTAAAACTCGAAAAAGAGAACTCTTCCCGCTCCCATTTGGACCTACAGCACAAATGAATAAATTAATTAGCTGCCAGCAACAAATTATAACTGAATAAACATTCCCTTTTATCTTTGTAAATACACAGCAGCCAAAGCTCATGAAGCACAGGTTTGCAAGTAAACAGAATCAGTATATAAAGAAAGCAAGAACTTCATAAGACAAAGAAGAAGGCTTCAATTAAAAATACAAAATTAGAACAAAGAACTCAATCTCCTTTTCAAGATGCCATCTACTCCTACAACTATGACCCGCAGATGATATAATACAGATATTGTGTCCCAGGAAATAATTCTGCTAGCACACTGTAAAAACCTAGAAGAAATAGTAGAAGTTAGCATCTCACTTTCTCTCAGTCTCTCTCTTTTAATCCATCTGTAACTCTCTCCCCTACCATGCTTTTTCAATCACCTAGGAGATTTCTAATGATGCAAAGGAGATCTTCCAATATTGTTCTAAGGTGAGGGTTAGGATATTTCCATATTTATCGAGAATGAGATTAGGATCATCCCAGAAAGTACTGAAGTCGATGGATGGTAAAGAGTTCTATTAGCCATTGATATGATGTGACTTAAGTGTGGTGGAAAAAGGCTCCTACAAGACCCAGTTGGTCGAAGGATGAGGAACCACAAAAAAATCTTCCGTTGGCATTTGAGACTGCAAAACCAGGATGCAGAGGGAGCATACTTTTGTTGCTTAGTTTGTAATCATTAGTTAGCTTTTTTAGTGTCAGACCACCAGATGATTTTCCAGGGAGCATGGAAACGAAGGAGTTTTATTTTGGCATATTGCAGAAGCAGGTAACAGCTGGCTAGAAGGGGAAGAGGACCGGACCTATGGTATAAAATATCAAAAACTGGAGCATTTTTACCTTGCAACCTGTTAGGTTCGGGTGTCCAGTGAGGCAGAACATGAAGATTCTAAAACGGATATGTTTGAATAATAAGATATATTATGCAGAACTGATAAAGGAAAATACTTGTTTTGGGAAGTTTTAGACTAAAAGGAAGAGGAAAATTAATTTCCTATTCTAGTTTCAAAAAGTTTTATGATAGAGGAAATATAGAAAGGTTTAATTTCTTTTTCCTAAGTATTCTCCTAATTCTTTCTATTTAATTAGATTTTCTATTTTCATGTACTTTTGTCCCTACAAATAGACTATCATATCTTATTTATAAAATAGACTATTCATGATTATTATTTACTATTAAAACATTGCTTTGATTTTATCTAAGATCTCCAAGTTTCGTCCTTAATAAAATTTCAACAAGTTTTGTCTTCAAACTCTCTTTATCCTACATCAGTTGACATCAAAACCTAATATCGATTCATTGTAGATTTTGTTATTCCTAATTCCTATATAAGTAGAATTCCTGAAATCGATTCAGTTTTTTCTTTAAGTTTTGTTCTTCCATTTATGAATTTTGTCATTCCTAATGGACTCATTAAGTCATCAGCCTTGATTTAAGAAGCACTTATATCTTTTAGTACAATTTCAAGTTCTGCAAGCTTCAATTGTTCTTGTCTAAGAGTACCGCTAGAATAGATAACTCTTCTATAGAGTTCAATAATATAAGAACTCATTAGTTTACCCCCATCTATCTGGATGATCAGCCTCAACTCGGGAGGAAGAACAGGTAAAAGACATAAAACAATCCATTCTGGCTCTATATTTGTTAGGGCATGTTGAATTGTACATCTAATCTATCTCTATATACAAATAGATAGACTTATAAATTGACTAGATTGACATCCGATATCCTTCTATATATAGTGCCTCCAATTTTCTTTTTTGTTTTCTTTTTTATTTGCACTTTTCTTTTTGAACTTATATTGAATTTGAGTGTATCTCACAACACAAAAAAAAATTCGCAGGAGGGGTAATTTACTTTGACATTCTTTCTAATTCAACAATTCAAAACTTGAGATCGAGTTTTCACCAAATGAGATAGAATGATGCAGCACATGAAGATTCTAAAATGTGCATATTTCAATAATAAGAGATATTATGCAGAACAACCAACAAAGAAGAATAAACATTTTAGAAAGTTTTATAGTAAAAAATATAGAAAGA